AATAATTTTCAAATTCTAACATATTTATCTTTTATTAAAATCATTCTATATAAGTATTAGATATAAGATATACTAACCTATCTACTATTAGCAATTTTTTTTCTTTATTTTAAATTTGCAAAATTATAAATTAGTCATAAACTTTATTTTTTACTGAGAATGAAAAATTTTCATATGTTTAATTTTTTTTTAAAGATCATTTTTTGAGTGATTATTAAAAGACATTTTTTGATGAAATTTAATATTAAGAAAAGAAATTTTAATTAAGAAAAATTTAGATTTTGAATAATTGAATTAGCATATAAAGAAAAAAAAATTATATTTAAAAGAAATAATTTATCATGTGATTCAATTAAAAAGTCATTCAAAATCAAAGTATTTATATAGAATTATGAATTTCATACAGTCAACTCTTGTTATAACGAACTTTATGTCCTAGACCTCAACTTCGCTATAAGACTATAATGAAGATTTTAAGAGATTTGATTGGCCAATTCGCTATAACAAGAGTATTTTTATTATATTTATTTAAAAAATTCATTATATCAAGAGTTCGCTATATCAAGAGTTGACTGTAATTCTAAAAATTAATAAATTTAAGTTTTATATAAAATTAAAATAAATTTATATTTATAAAGTCAATTGCAAATAGCAAGAATATAATATATTCTTATCTGATAAGTTACGTATAAATACGATATGTATTTTGCAAAATTTTTTTATAAAATTTATTCAAAAAAAAAAAATAAAATAAAAAATTTAATTTTTAAAAACAAAATTTTTTTTTTATTACAATATTTAAAAAAGATTGTTAATATTAAAAAGAATATTATAAATTATTAAATTATAGAATTTAAATTTTAAAATAATAAAAAAAAAATTAATTTAAATAACTTATTGATAAAGTGATAATATTTTCGTAAAGATACAAAATCTTAAAAAAGAGTGATATTACACAAAAGAAGATATTAATGATAATGATTTAAAATAAGATAGTAATTTTTAAAAAATCATTTATGTCTTATATATTTTCTATGTTTTCTATGTTATTTGTTTCTTTTATTCAATATATTATTTCTATTTATTTTATCTCATTTATCTCATTATTTATTATATTATTTTTATTATATTTATTTTTTTAATTATTTTAATAATTCTATATATTTAATTTTATATAAATATAAAAAGAATTCTTTTAGTTTAATAATGTATTAATTCATATTTTTTTTAGATAGTTTACTTTAATTTTTCTAATATATTTGTAAAATACAAAATGCTAACTAAGGTAATACTTAATTATTATCATCATTAAATAAACTGTTTACTAATTGATATTTTTCTAAAATTAATTATAAAAATTAACTTCTGTTTACCATTTAAAATTATCATATTAATTATTACTTATAAGCATTTTAAAAAACTAACTATAATATATTAAGATATATTTAACTATAGTATTTTTAATTTTTAAAATAGTAATTATTAATATATATCAAATTTTTAATTTTTTAAAATAATTTATTATCTAATAATTATGGAAAAATAAAATTTAGTATATAGATTTATTTTATTAAAATTTATTAAAATATTTATTTTTGAGTTCAATAGATAACAAAATATATAAGTTTAAAATTTTAATTTTCATAATATATTTATATTTAAAATATTACTAATTAATTACATTTTTTTTTAAAATTTTTACTTAGAAAATATTATTAAATTTATTATAAAAATATTAACTTTTAAATAAATTATTTTAAAATATTAAAATTATTATAAATAATTTAATTATTAAAAAAATTGTAAGCAAATTTGTCTATAATATACTTAAAGAAATAAAGCACTTTGATGAATAATAAGATAACAAAATTTACTAGATACTTAAAATTAGAAAATAAATAGAAAAAAGATTTTCAAATTAAACTATATATTTTATTAATTAAATCAATTTTCATGAAATAAGTAAAAATGTATTTTATAATAAAATACATATATGTTAAAGTTTTTATAGATATTTAATTGATATTAAAATTTATATTATATATTTAATGCAACATTTTTTTATATTAATATAAGATTTTAGTTTAATAAAACATTGAATTTTAGTAGTAAATCTATTATATTTTATTAATTTAACTCATTTATTATATTAAAAAATATTTTTCTTTAATAGATTTTAATAATTACATTTATACTGTAGATCAGCCAATTTAAATCCAAATCGGTTTAAATTTTAAACATTTAAAATACAGCATCTAGACAATTAATTAGCATTTTAATTGTCAACTTTGTCTTAGAAAAAATTTTTTTATTTAGTGACGAAATGAAGACTGACAACAAGACTGCGCAGGCTTAATCCATTCAACATTTGTGAAATTTTGGAATTACGAATGCAGCCGAAATAAGATGTAGAACAAATATACCAAGATCCACAATATATTTCAACTTGGCAAAATTGAAAAAAACCAGAAGCGTCATCCACAAAAAATGCCCCAGTCACCCCAAAAAAAATCACTTCAGAGAGCTCAAAAGCTCTTAGGTAGTATATTAGAAGAAATCCAGCAGTTTCTTTTAGCTAAAAGGTGTAAACGTGTCCTATAGTACAGTTTTGCAGTACTTAACTAACCTTGGCTATATAAGAAGCGACCCATTGCAACCCTGATGCTTACAAGGTTGCATAAGCAAAAACGTATAGAATGGGCCTAAAACCATATGAATAATAACTGAAATTGCACTTTTTTTTCAAACAAAACATCCTTTTGGTTATTTAGTAATACTGTAGAATATTGATATAAGGGTCAACGACCAGTTCATCGCATCTTAAAGGACTGGACAAGAATTAATACGTGAGGTGAATTTTGTATTTAGGGCAAAACCAGTCTTTACTGCTTCTGAGAGAATATGACTAGGCAATTTTATGTTAGAATAATAAAGAAGCATCTTCCTGAAATTAAGAGAATACTACGTAACAATTAACGCCTCTAGCAAGATAATGATCCTAAATATATGAGCAATGTAGCTAAGGATTTTTTGCAAAGAAAAGTTCTAGCTGTTATGAACTGGCCATCTAACAGTCTCGACTTGAACCTCATAGAAAATTTATAAGCAATTGTTAAAAGAAACATGGAGATGTGACAACTACAAAATATTGGAGATTTAGAAAATTTTATGAAGAAGGAATGGTTAAAAATTCTACAGAATATTATTAAAAGTCTAGTTGGTTCAATGAAAAAGAGATGTAAGTTTATAATTGAGAAAAATAGAGAACACATTTTCTATTAATTTTTTTTTAATAAAATCTCCTGCTTTTTGGCTTTTGAATAAATATTTTATCATGTGAATTGGCGCAGTCATTATGAAGTTATGTCAAAAAATATTTGTCTAAAGACTTTTGCATCAGACTGTATGTGACTTTTAATTTTATCACTGATCATTTAAAGACTTTTGCACCAGACTGTACATGTGAAATTAAATTGATATTAATCATAAATCATATAAAATAATAATCTTTTTAAAATTTTATTATAATTTTATACTTTATCTTATCAAATATAAATGTAATTAATATGAAATTTTGAAAATATATATTTATTAATATGAAAAACAAGTTTAATTAATTAATAAAAATAGATCATTACTAAAATATTTTATATTTAATTATAACTGAAAACTTATATTAATACACAAAAATATCACATAAATATTAAATATAAAATTTGTTACCAATTAGATATTTATAAATTTTTAATAAATGTATATTTTGTTATGATACATAATTTAACTCATTATATTAAATAAGATTTAATTAATAAAATAAAATTTAATTTAAAATAGCTTATTTTATTGATATTCTAATTTTGTGTTTAATAACTTTTGATACCTTACTATACATAATTATAAATACAATTATGAATTTTTTTGTAATTTAATAATATGAATGATATCCTTATATTAAATAATAATATTAATTAATTAAATTTTGTAGTAAAATATAATAAAAATATAATTTTTTAAATTTTAAAAAATTTTTAGTTAAAATAAAAGAATAATATTTAATGAGAAAATGATATTTGATACATTTATATTTATATAATATATATTTTTTATAAAATTTTACTTTCTGTTCTATTTATTAGAAATTCATGATTTAAAATAATTGATTACATTAAATATATTTATTATATTGGAATTTTTTTTAAGATGATTTAACTAATGATTTAATAAATGTAACTCTTCAAAATATTTTACAAATCCTTTTTAATTCTTATGAATTTGGTATTATTTCAGTTATTATCTATTTTATTTTTATATATGTAAGACAATTTATATAAGATACTGATTATTTTTTAGCATAAACAAACCTAAAAGAATTAAAAAAAAAACGTGTTGCAGAATTAATTCAGAGTCTAATTTTAATTATTATATATAATTATAGTTGATCAATAATTTATACAATTAATGATTTAATATATATAATATATTTTGAAAGGCATAAAATCAGCGTTAATGAAAATTTAAAAAAAACCTTTCTAAAGATTATATTTCCTTTTATTGAGAGGTACCTTTATTATCATTTCTGCATTTTTTAGAAATCAATTGTAATTCTTCAAATTATAGTTAGAATTTGATACTACTATTACTTCTCATAATTTTAGTATACATATGAATTTTAAATTTTTATCCAATTGAAATGATTAAATATGATGTAATTAATTTTTTTTTTCATTTATTTTTGATTTCGCAGAATGATGATTATAGGCCGCAGAAAGCAGGGCAGATTTTAAAATAAACGCCGGCCGATTTGTCAAAATTTCGCCGCCGTAGATCATCTGGTGACGCGATTAGGGAATCGGGTAAGTTACCAAATGGTAAAATTACCAAAACCGCAATTGTTATAAGTTGATCAAATCAGTTCCGGACGTTATATTTCTTCTTCTTTTAATATTTCTTTAAATTTTTTCTTTATCAGTTTGAATAAGGCCTACTTTAAATAGGTAAACATGACAGGCTTAGAAAAGTTGCAAAAATGTTTACAAGAACTTGACAAGTGCCGCCAAAATATAGTGCAAAAGACTAGCTTTGGTGATGCCGTTAGCGAAGCTCTTAGATATAGTCAAGATATTGATCAAATAGTTCTTAATAATATTGAAGAACAAGAGCTCGGTAATGCTCTTTTATGATTTTTTTGAAATTTTGATCTTTTTTTTTAATAACTAAATGATAATTAACTGCGCCATGTATCATGTGATAAAAGGTCTCGCAACCCAGCTGCTATTTGATCCTCAATTTGGAATCATCAAATTTCTTAACGATACTTCACGAGTAACTGATTCAACATTAGCAAAGGCAAAGATAGCACTTTTAGAATTTCTTTTTCTTTATATCCAAAAGATTAAGTCTGATATTGAACCATATACAGAAAGCATCAAGGTTCATGTTTCTGTTTGTTTATTTATATTCAAAATCCAAAAAACAATTTAATATTTAAATATACTTTCAATTTAAAAGAATGTACACTTTGGAATCCTTAACGTAGATAGCGAAGCTTTCGTAAAAGCGGCGTCTTTTAAGCCGTTGATGGCGATTCTTGATTCAAGTAAAAGATTTATTGATCCTGAAAAATTCAATATTAAGGATATAATTGCACGGTAATTTTCAATAATTGATAATTATTTATTTAATTAAACGCGTTAAACTTTATTCATTCATTAATTTATTTTTACAGTTATCTTGAGATTTTCTTCGTAAGAATAAAAAGCACATCTGGAATAAAAGGTATATACTTTAATAGTTTACATAAAATTTCATAAATTATAAGTGAAGTTACTAAAATTGTTTATATATTTATTAGCTAAAGCGGGAGCTTTAGATATGTTGGGAATAATTGCTCATCGATTTCCGGAATATGTCGATGATGAAAAAGACAAAATTCTTCGTGTTTTTATAGCTAATCTGAAAGAGAAATCTTTAACGGATGCAGCATTTACGGGGTTGCATTCATTTTTATTTGCTTATCCGGATTCATTGAAAAAAGTAAATCAAGATGCGTATGTCTTTAAATGCGTTATGAATAGCATCACAATATTTGAAAATGAAAGAATGTATAGTATAACGAAAAGTTAGTATTTAAATTTTATTTTTATGATCGTATTTTCGTGACCCATTAATTATAATTTATTATTTATATCAGCCGGACTTCAATACATAATTGATCATTCAAATATATTTGGGGAATTTTTCTTACGTGAATATAAAGAAATGTGGCAATGTTTTTGGAAATTACGTGTCCATCGTAATAAGGATGTTAGATACACGACATTTAAAGCTATTTGGACCTTTTTGAAACAGGTTTGCGTTATCGAAGTTTATTTTTATTTTATAATTTATTCACAAGAAAAAATAAAAAATATGCATTTGATTTTTAACTTAGATTGCAAATGTATTAAATTCTGCCACGGAATTCCAAAAATTCGATTGTGTTGATGTAGGTTTGATACAAAAACTATACAATGCAGAAGTTGCTATAATTAATCAAATATTAATAATTTTCATTTCTAAAAAAAACGCGTTAAATGTTTTTTTTTGATCATTTCTTTTATAGTATTTTATGATAGTCTTTGATAATGTGGCAAGAGAAAGCAAAAAAATATCAGATCAACCGCTAAGTGAAGAGGAACAAGAGCAAAGAAAAAAGGATTTGTCTATCGCAGTTCGTGGTGTTGGTTATTTCGCTGCTTGCGCCAAAAGATTAGATAAAGAAGGGAAGTGGAAACCAATATTTCAAAATCTCCTTAATCCAAATGATTGGTCTATATCAAAGTACGCATTTTGCACTGAAATTGTTAAATTTTTTTGTATATAATCATTATTTTTTAATATATTATTAATAACTTTGTTTTAGTTTGAATGAAACTGAAATCAAGTATTCGTTGTCACAAGTTCCATTGTTTATTGAGGCATATTGTTATATTGGGCGAGATGATGATGAAATCTTCCATCAATTAATGGAGACAATCGAACGTGAAGTGGGAATATTGATGATTTATTTTCCGCGAATGAATTATGATCTGAGGCGTCGTTGTGTTAATGCTTTTGAACATTTATTATGGATGTTTTATCTCAAGGATAAAGGAATTATGCAAAAATTTGTCTCTAAATCATGTAAGTAACGAAATTCTTTTAACATTTTAAAATTAACTTGTATGAGTCTCATTTGAAATATTAATCAATTTAATTATCTCTAGTTTATCAAATATTGATTCTTACATGTTCAGATGCTATTCAGCTTCAAAGTAAATCTGACTACCAAAGCGTAAATTCAGCTGATATGATCGATGTTGTTGCAGAACATACATATCAAGAAATGTTCTTTTTTTGGGAAAATATATTTAAAGATTCAACTTTCTCATGGATCATTGATCAAAGTGGATTTTCAATTGATGGAAATCAATTATGCATCATTCAGTCTGAATTCTTTTCTATACTTTATGATGAAATTATGTCATCAGTATTTCGAATGATACGGACTTTAAATTTATCCATTACAGAAGTCGCTGGAGAATCTATGCTTGAAACATCTGTAATGAAAAATAATAATCAAGGAGTTGATGTCAATTTGATAGCTATAGCAGGTTCTGGTGACCTAGAAAATCTACAACCATTGGTTTCTAAAGATTTCGCCCTTTTTCATAATCTTGTCGATTTTTGGCAATTGTTTTTGCCTAGAATAAAAAGTAATTTATTTTCAAGATGGGTCTATCTTGCTGGAGACACGTTAATAACATTTTCTACGCGATATCCATATGTTAGTGGATTCTATAAAATGTTAGGCTCGTGTCTGACAGTATGTGAATCTATTAACTTTTTTGAGGGTATAAAGAGATTTGATAATGAGGTATCACAAATTAATAAATTAAAGTTAATTTATTTTTTATGTGTGAACTATTAATAAAATCATTTGATAAAACTAGAATGTTATGATGCAAGACTCTCTAGACCAATTGTCCCCAACAACGTCACCAGCTCAAAGATCAAGTTATTTTCTTTTCATTAAATTCTTCAAAGAAGTTTCCGCTAAGCTTTCTCAATATAAGGATGATTTGCTGGCATCATGTTTGCGTCTTGTTCTTTCTATTCCACGTGAACTTATTAACATACGTAACCTTATGTCGCCAATTTGTATTGCATTAAAAATGGGACTAAGTTATCAACCTCTCGCGACTATTGGTATAAGTGCAATTGAAAAATTAGTGGATTTACAAGGACCTCGGGATATTAGTGAATGGCTGGGACAAATATTGCCTCTTTTTAATGAGTATTTATTAGTTAAGGCTGATTCAATTGACAATAATACTATTAAAGGATTCGCACAAATTCATAACACACAACGAAATAAGAGCGGACATTTCAAGTCACTAGATCAAACAAGGAAAGACAGAGTCAAATATAAAGGACAAAAAAAATATGTTAAAACGATTGTTGGCGTATGTTTATTTTATTATTCGACTAATGTGTATCAGTGTTATTGTTGTATTAATTTTTTTTATTAATTTTATAGATCGGGCAACTAGAAAAAAATGTTGAATTACATGATTTGCAAGTGCGCATCCTTCGCTTGTTAGGAAGGCTTGGTGGAGTTAGCAAGTTTGTGTTTGAAGGAATTGTAAACAATGATTTGGCTTATCGACCAAGTCCTTCAATTAATCCAGCTGGAACCAAAGTGTCAAACAATAAGTTGCTTGCTTGGGATCCTGATAAACGCTTGTCATTTAAGATTCCATTTCCCGACATTAATGTTGAAATTCTGTTTGGTAAGAGGACTTGTCAAAAAAAAAAAGAAGATAATACTCTTTATAAAAACGTTAAAATTTTTTTTTTTCTAGACGAGTTTTTACCGCGTATAGTGGAACTTGCCGAGTCTGCACCGGATCGTAATACAAAGATCGTTGCCTGTGAATTACTGCATTCAATTATTATAGTTATGGTTGGAAAAAGTGCATTTAAAGCAGGACCACAGGTATCACTTCGTAACTATTAATAAATTTCTTTTAATGATTCATTATTAATTTTATTACAAATATTTGATCCAGAGTCCATTTCTTCGCACATATCGTTATATATTTCCTGCTCTTTTGAGATTGGCAATTGATACCGACCCCGTCCCACGAAGAATCTTTCGTCGACTTGTTGCTCAATTAATTCATTGGTATACAAATAATGCACAATATGAGAACCCCGAAACAATTAAATTATTACAATGTTGCCTTGACGCGATATGTGATACATGGGGCTCACTAAGAGATTATGGTGCAGAATGCTTAAATGAATTCTTAATATGGTCAATTAAACAATCCTCAGCTACGGTACAATAATATTTCATACACTTATAAATGTTTTATTTTTTATGTACATATAAACTAATATATTATTTTATCATAAAATAAAGCAAGTAGAAGTGCATCCGATGAATATGAAATCTTTATTGAAACGGTTATATAATTTATGTGCACATCCTGATTATACAAAACGTCTTGGAGCTTCTCTTGCTATTAATCATATTTATCAAGTATTCCGTGAAGAAGAATACTTAGTTGATCAGTTCACCTTTGAACTCTTATATTGGATATTAGTCAACCTAAGACTTTCCGACAATGATCAGTCCGCAATTGGTAAGTTAAATTCATCATTAAGTTAAAAGAAGTCATTCAAATAATAAAAATTATATGGATTCTGTAGGAACACGTCAACAAGCGATTTCAGCAATCCGTCATCTGAAAAGAATAATTATTGTAAAATCCAATTTGTTTTTAAACGAGTCTCCTATGAGAAGAAAATTTACCAATCTTGACAAATCTGATTTACCATCTTTGGTTGAGTGGCTATTTATTGAGACAAGTAGGAAAGAACAAGATTACTCAAGCATATGTCGAGAATTATTTTACGAATTCGTGAAGTTGCATCCGGGTAATTTTTCGTGTATTTTTTATAAAGATTTGATTTAACGATTTTTTTTTTAATATATTTTCTGTTTTTCCACGATCTGTTATATTCCTTTAGATTTTAAATCCGGCTTCAGATGGGTTAAATTTAGACTTGATAGAAACCCATCATTTTTGAAAAATCTTTTTAAGACTTCAGAACTTTCTCTGTCAAATATATTGCATAAAGGTTTAACTTCTCCACAAATAAAAGATTGGTGCGCACGACTTTTATCCGTTTTAGCTAATTACACATGGCTTATAAACGTTAGGTTCGTGTCACCTTTAGATTTAGTTTCGAGTTTTGATCAAACATTCAGAGAGGCAATCAATTATTTCTTGGAAAATTTTGTAAAAGATAGGGAGGACTTTGTTAATGATGCCATGGAGATTGATGACGAGGATAACTCTGTCAAGAACATAGAATCTGATAGTGTTTTAACGCCTGCAGAGAAATTGGAATGGTTAACGCAAAAAATTCAAGTTATCAAATGCTTAATAGAATTTACTATCGTATTACTCAAAGAAACTGATCCAAGCAACTTGAGACCTATATGGAATTCAAATATCTTTGAAAAGAAATTTTATAAACTATTAGGAAATTGCATACTACGTCCTAATTCCATTGGATTAAATCAATTATCAGATGATATGATCAAACAAAAACTTCTAATTAAACAATCGGGAACCTTATTTGAGTTGTTTAAAAAATTGTCTGTCGGTAATGATCCTCAATTGAAACAGTTAGCACAAGAACTCGCTGAAATTGCATTTTCTGACAAAGTCAATTTATTATGTATTGAATTAGATAAGTCAGGTATTCACTTTTCAACAAAATTGGTTCGTTATAATTATTAATTTTAGAGTTAATATAATTTAATCCTTATAGATCCTACATATTATGTCCAAATTACTGATGGGTATTTGGTTCTCAGCTTGTCTGGACTTTTTCCGGATCTATTAGAGCACGAAATGACTTCGCATATGAACACTAGTTCAAAATTATATGACTACATTTTAGCTAGCTGGAAAAAATTCAATGACCTCCGTGATGTCGTAGATCCGCTGTGGGTTGTCCTTGTTAAGCAACTATTATCATTTGCTCTTTCTCTTAGCAAATATAATGGTGCAATCAACCAATGGCTTCTTAGTGATATAATTGTAGGTTACGCTAAGATTTTGCATTTGCTGTATATTTTAAATAATTAATGATTTTTCATTATTAAATTTATTATTTTAGGGATTCCCTAGCAATAACTCAGATTTCTATCATCAAAATGGGACGATTTACTACCAAAAGTTCTCCTCGATTGTACGTTATCGTTATTTATTAATTCGTAAATTCATGAAATTTCAAAATTAATTCAATCATTAATTTTTAGATCAATGAACATATTTCATGCAATTTTAGAGAATTTGCTAATATCTTTTATAAAAATATTAGTGGGCTCCAGGAACAAAATACTATTGCAATTGATGTTGCTATTGTTAAAGATATAATGTTAAATTTAATTGATTATTTGGCCTCTAAAAAAGAATCTCAGCAGAATTTGACGTTTTTAAATGATGTAAGTGTGTGTAAAGAATAGTTCTTATGAAATTCATTATAAAGTTAACTATTTTATATTATTACGTATAGCTAATTTCAGAGATCTATTTTCTTGAGAGATTGTAAGCATGTTTTATTTTTCGGTCATAGCTTTTTTGTAAATGGATCGTTTTAATGAATAATCTGGATTTGATTCTCATATGTAATACAGCGTTAAATTATGTAATTCTGACCATAAATATTTATTAAAATTGTGGAATGGATTATTTATGTTGGAACCGAATTTGTTGAAACGATTTTCACTGGGAGAATTTGGAGAATTTCAAAATTTATTTCGGAAAAATTATGAATCATTCCTTGATAGACAAGTTGACCTTGAGTTCAAGAATGAAGTTTTGGATCTTTTAACTTTTTACTTAAAATCGGATTTGCCAAAAGAAAAGGTGAACTTATTATTGAAACAGGCACATTATTATTTTTTCATAATATAATCTAAATATTTATCATTTTATCATTTCGTTTTAGATTGAAAGCTCTATTGAATTCATCCTTTATCAACAAATACCTACTGATTCTAAGGACTATTCGAAGTTTGGAACTAAAAAGTATTTTTAATTTAATTTGCGTTTTTAAAAAATTACAAGTTCTTACTACGATTTATTGCTTTTTTATATAGACTAAATGAATATTTGTCGGTTCTTGATAAAATGCTTAAGACGATAGTGAGATCCGGAAGCGTGAGCTTATTTAAAATATTGATTCCCACGTTTTGTCGTGAGAGTGATCATGTATATGGAGAAGAATTTCAGCAACAAATTAGTAAATTTTTGTCAAAACTTTCTCGTTCCAAATATGTTGATACAATGGATATAGCTTACGGGTAATAATATAATTAATTTTATCTTTTAATAAATTAGACCTATAGTAATTATTAATTTTCCGTTCTATATATAAAGATATTTCACGAACCCAACATACATTAGCTTCCAACGAAATATTATTGAGATGATTTTATCCCCTCCTTTGCTGAAAGGTCCAAAGATTTTTGTATTGGATTTTTATAAGAAACATATTAATGAAATCATCAATCTTCTTGAGCATGATAAATATCCAAGAAATGTTGAGGAAAAAGTTTATGGTCTTAATGAAAAAGCAGGATCATTGACCCTATTACAAATATCCTTAAATATCAAATGGGCTCAGACATTCTAAATAATTATCATTTTTAATTAATTCTTTAACAAAAATCACATTCTTTATCTTCGTGCTTCCGAAGATGATATATATTCTGAAAATGGCGAAATCGTTCAAGCTTATTGTCAAGGAAGACCATTAAAAGCGAAGGAATTGACGAGAAAAGTGATGGAAAAGGCACATAGGATTAAGTCACAAGCAGATAAAGTAAGCATAATTAAATGTCAAAATCTTGATCATTTTGTATATTTATATTTTTAATTCAAATTAATCTTTAATTATTAGGACAATTCCGGTAATAAATTAGTATCCGAAGCTAATTTGCATTACCGTTGTGAGGCATATAATGCTTTGGCAGCTGCAATTTTATGTACACAAAATAACCCAGTGTATTATAAAGCTTTCTTGTTTTCTGAAAATCTTTCAAAGGGCGAATTATTATGGGAAAATATTATTGATATTGAGGTTATTTATATACATACTTATAATATGATTCTCTTCGTAATATTCGTAATTTGAAAATTTATTAAGCCAATTAACTTTCATTATATTTAGACAAGTTATCAAATAAATGTTGATATAAATCAACCATTGTCTAGGATAAAGGTTGATGATTTTAGATCTAAGTCCGGAGGATCTTTGAAGTAAGCAAATGTGATACATATTTAGAACAAGCTAAATTTTCGTTCACACTCATTTAATATATTATTTATAAGGTCGAACGGTTTGAAGAATCTTGCATCACAATATTTGATGGATTCCAGCATAACACAAGTAAAAATCTAGTGATTATACTCTTTCCATTTCATTTTATTACATAACGATGTTGAATATTATTCGTTAAATAGAGTGGTGCTTTCCTTAATGGATTACCTAATGATACCGAAGATAGCGAATCCGAAAACGAATACTCAGGCCTAGTGCAAATGGATATTGATAAACCAGATGAAAATAATTCGAAGTAAAGTTTTAATAATAATTTTTTTATTTTATTCTAATCGTATCTAAATTTATTCATTTTCATTAGTTCTGAGGCACGCAGATTAGATGTTGATGATTTCAATCGCCACCCTTGTATGAAAATGATTATTAGAGTTATAGACCGGCTTCATAATCAATTAACAAAGTCAACAGGTCCCGATGACCAAATGCCTGGGTGGATGAACGATATTTACAAAAAATTTACAAATATAGGAAATGAAATTAAGGGTATCTCACCTAACATTTATCATGTTTTATTTATTTTTAAGTAAATTTTTGTATATTTACTATTTATTAACGATTTTATTTCTTAGAAACAGATACGCATATAAATATCCGCTTATTTATTGCTAAAATTATAGTCAATGTTCCGGAGGCATTTGAAAAGTATTCCTCTTTATGGATTCGTCCCATTATGAAATTAATAATCGAAGGCAATGTATATGGCGAAGGAATTAATTATTACATTCAGGTAATTGTAATCTGAAATTTTTATGTTTTTCATACTCGATATTATCCTATTTACTATTTATTATTTACTATTTGTATTTAGGATTTATGTGCAATCGTCACCGTCTGGGGCTCTTTTGTTAAATTAGAATCTTATCAAGATAAAGTTCTAATATATGAACTGATGGTATTCAATCATATTTCGTTATTATTAATATATATATATATATATATATATATTTCTAATTTAATTTTATTCAATATTTTAGGTGTTTTTGATGAAAAATTCGTACGATAAATCACGCGTTATCGTTAGAAATAACATTTTAACCATTAAAAGATTATTTGAAACTTGGAGTGAATTAATTATTGTACCTACGGTAAGATACTTTTGTATATTTATTTATATTTAAAATGAGAATCATCATTTCAACGTTACTAATATTTCAATAATTTAGCGCATTATTCATGAACTCATCAGTGATCCTACAAGAAATAGCGAAAAAGTTTACACAGGGTTACAATTATTAGGGATAGTTTTAGCACATAACAAACCCTTGTTTCAAGATGAAGTTGGACTTGACTTGGATGGATTAACTTCTGATAAATTTTATGTGGATTTAATCAATTTACTAGATGGCTTTAAGCAAAGTATTCGTGCGTTAGCTGCTGAGGTTTGTATATCAGTTGTTATGTATATATGAATCAAAAAGAATTGTGTTTCACAATCTTTATATGTAGGTTTGTGGTTTGGCTATTAAAAATTTGAGAAAATTTCATTGTTCAGATGCTCTATCAGTTTTATTGAATCCAATGTTTCAAAAAGTAATGTGTTCATTTATTTTAATGATTCAATGATTTCAAATAATCTAAATTAATCTAATTATGAGTTCATAATTTAATTATGAAAAGATATCTGGAATGTATCGACAAATTTCATTCAATGCGTCTGTATCTGATATGGAAAACTTCCTTATTGTTATTCATCATATGTCGATACACGACGTTGATGTCGCTGTTAAATTTTTGAAATACGTCTTTGGAATCCTGCCAAAATTAGAAAATAAAAAGATATTGGCATTAGAAATAATTTCATTTTGTGCCGGTCATGATCGGGATTTGTTTACGAATTTACAAAGCGATCGACTTCTAGGATTTTTAAAGCACAGGTGAATATTTCTCCCATTTATATTACTATTATTCCTTCTTTCTTATTATTGATTTATAACTTAAAATGGAATTTATAAAGAGACGAAAATGAGCAATTACTTGCCTTGAGAATATTATCGGGTATACTTCATGATATTGATAATTCAACAATTGATTATTACTTGGATAATTTAATTGAAAGTTTCCAAGACCATCCTAATAATGATTGTCGAGTATCCTTTTGATTATTTATTATTATTGCTTTAAAAAAAAGTTATTCCTTAACTTTTAACTTTCGAAATGTAATTAGAAAATTTACTATACAATATTGGTCAAAATGTATAATAAAATTAATGGAATTAATGACAAAGAAAAAGAAACAAAACAAAAGTTGAAAATAAACCTTTTGCGAGGATTAGTTGATACAGATGAATCGATTCAGCAGGCATTAATTGAATTTTGGCACGTACAAGAAGAACTTTCACGTGATACATTCACGAAATTAAAAGAGCTTATTGGGTTTGTGTTAATAAATTTTGCTATTAAAAACAAGGTAGATACTTACTTAATCTTGAATATGACTAGAAATCTTTATTCTACCGAAGCCGAGAATTTATTCCTCAACTACGCTTGTTACTTATTACTTGAAGGATCCAAGAAAAGCATTGATTATAATAAACCTATATTTAACCAACCATTGCCACAATCCAAATTTGATGAGAATTATGATGATATTGATACTTCATGGCGAGTGAATAACACAATGACTCCTTTGTTTGTAAATTCGCAAAAAAATAAACCAAAGGTAAAAATAAAAAAGTGATTCTTCTTTCTCATTAAGCGAATAATTTATTTATTTTTAATCCTTTATAATTATAGAATTCGTCTCAAGATGGTCTGATTCGAGCAACTAATAAAGACTTAGCATTTAGCTTGACTCTAGATCCAGGCAAGAAATAATTTGTAGGATTGTTGAATAGCCTTCTATTATAATTATACCCTTATTTATTTTCATTTAATTAATCAGAAAATGCAGGACTTGGCTCTCAAGTTGCTGACTACTCTTTGACACAGTCAAATTTATTATTTTCACAGCAAAATTTTCCAAATATGGATAAAGACGATATACAAAAGTAAATATTATTCTTTAGTAATTTGAAGAATATAAGGAAAGAATACATTAATCAATTAATTTTCTAAAAGATCAATACGAAGTTCGGAATATCAAAGATTTAGTCAACGATCTTTCGAAACATATTCCCAACGCGATTTTAAACAAAAAATACGAACAGAAAAAAAGCAAGCTGAAATATATAAAACTAGTCAGCATGGCATATTCACAAAGAATATTTCACTGTTACGTAAATATCGAGTTGGTAAGTAATAGTATAACTGTATTATCAAATAACTCTCTTTTACTCTATTATTAATAAACATTAACATTGAATAGGTGAACTTCCTGATATCGAAATTAGTCACGGAGATCTAATTAATCCGTTACAAGCATTAGCACAGCGAGATTTGGGTTTATCTCGGATGTTGTTCACGTCTCTATTTGTTTCAATATATAATCAAATTGATAATAATAATATGCAGGTAAAATATTGGGTTGTCATATAATTGTTTTATTTTTCAAGTTTGTTAATTTTCAATGGTATTTACAGTTAGATGAAATGATTAATGAATACAAAAAAGACATAGCTCAACATATTCAAGATATATTTAGCAAATCCACTATGAACTTCCCACCCTTTATTGGAAGTTGTTTAAGAATCTGTTATGAAGTCGGCGATATCGAAATAGAACCGAATACGATTCGTAAAGCATGTAATTTAAGTTCAACGGAATCGCTGGGAATTATTTTAATAGAGCGGCAGCTATTATACACTTCCACAGAAAGAGGTAAGTTTGAATTTCCTGTCATCGGAACAATAAAATTGAAATTGAAAGATTAATTTAATTTTTCGATTAGAATCCAAAAGGTCACGTACTACAAATTCTAGCCTTGTTGCTTCAAGCAAAAGGCCTTGGATTGAATTGAGTCATTTATATAAATCCATTGATGGTCATGATGTTTACAAGAGCATTTATGAAAGCAAAATAGCTATAAGTGAACTTACAAAGGGTAATGAATTATAAAGAAAACTTTTGATATTTATAATACAAAAATCTAATAGTTTTCTGAAAATTGTTTATAGATGCTCTTAACGCAGAGCTTTTGGGAGATTATGCCTTAGCGTGTAGTCATTATCTTGAAGCGTTGAATAGTGAAGCTGAAGTTGATGATATAGAGGTCTGTCGCAATTTGTGTCATTTATTGTATTAGTTCAAAAAATAAAATTTTGATATATTTATCTGGTTTAGGTCGCTTTATGGGAAGAAAGACGTTTTGATTGTCTTGAAAAGCTGTGTCAATGGGATGATTTGGCAAAGACCGTTCTTGTTGATATTGAAGACAATTTAAGCAACTTATGGGATGATGAATTACAGGTTTGTATTTAGAAAACTCATTGCATTATTTTTAAAATTTTCTATTCCTTTTTTAATTCTGAATTAAACTTCCAGGAGATATATCTACAATATTTTATCCATAGCTTCTTTAAATTAGCTCATAGTGATGAACATAATGAATATCGGCAGCTTTTTTTCGATTTTATTAATAGTACTATGAATAATCAATATCAAAAATCCTTACTAACAGCGCAATATCCTATTGGTATGTAGATAGTTTTATCGAAATAATGACATTTAACATAAAATATTAACCGATAGTATTATTTAGAACTTGCACTGAGCTCACTAACAAAAAAGGATTTGGAACAAGCACGATTGTATGTTCGAAAATCATTTGATGATTTCTTATTTACATGGTCTACTTTACATCCATTGGCAATCGGTACTCGATTGGGTAAATTGAGCTCTTTACAACAGGTAGCTATTTAATATCTCTATTGGTAGAATTTGTTAAAGTAGCTAAAACGAACAAATCTTTACAGACTGTAGAAATCGAAGAATATTTGAATCTTCATCAGTCTTCTGAAAGGAATCAAACTTGGAACACAATTATCTCGCGTTGGATGAGGAGGTAAAATTAAAAATAGCAACCGTAAACATATTCAAAATATTACTTGCAAATAATTGATTTTTATTATCGCTTTATTTTAGATTTCCTTCAAAAACACTTGATTCCTCCAATATATGGGATGATATCGTGACAACCCGTCAATCTATTCTCAATGAAATGGCTGATTGGTTAAGAGTAAATAACGTGAGTATTAAAACTTCAAGATTCACATTTTATTTATTAGAGTATCATTGTATTTAAATTACTTTATCTTTTTAGTTTCATAGAATGAAAGTTTCATTAGAGAGCCAAAATTTGTTAAAAATGTCATCAGCCGCGCGAAAACAAAGAAACTTTGAGGTTTCTCGAGTCTGTTTAAATAAAGTAAGAAATTCGAGACTTATTGACGAGGAGAAGTTGACTTATTGTCAGTTTAAATTGAACCTTCGCGAAGCTCAAAATGCAATCGATACTGAAAAGAAAGCAGAAATATTATTGGCGTTATCTGAGGAATTTAAAAAAATCAAGGTGAACTAAAGTTTAATTTTTATTATTAAATATTTTTTGATTCTTTACAATATACATCTGTTCTAAAAATTTTCCTCTTTAGATTTCAGATTCTAAGGATGAAATAAAAATGAGAATCATAGAAGGCGAAACATACGGACTTATAATTGCAGAGTTAGATAAGAGATTTCTTAATAGAAACTTGTCCAAAGTTAAAAGTAAAAGAAATTATTTTATTGAGCGAGGATATAATCTTTTTAATGACGCAACCAAGGATTATGTATTACAGTCAAAGGTAAAAACAGAAATTAATTTAATAATATAAAATTTCACAATTTAATGCTTCTTTATTTTAATAGCCATCAATACATTCTAAAGTCCTTGTCAAGTTTGCTAAATTTTGCGATTACTTTTTGCGTAAACTTGAATCTACCGAGGAGAAAATGGTATAACGTGGATTATTATTTAAATCTTTATTTTTATCTTTTTTTATATTTTTTTTTTGCATGCTACTGTCAAAAAATATAATTTTATCATTCATTTTTTTTTCATAGCAAACTATATTTGATCGTACTCAATATGCTTCTAATGTAGTAGAAAGTATATTGCAAGCAATGGAAACTGGTTCAAAAGAAGCAACCGAAATGTTTCCAAGGTTGCTTCAAATCATTGAAAAATATGATAATACGCGATCTATATTTGAAGAGAAGGCAAGCGCTTATTTAATTTATTGATTGATTCGTTGCATTTTAAATCAATTATAATATAGTTATAATATATAAATTCTACTAGGTCGAATCTATTAATTCCGTATGGAAATTTATTCGATGGATTCCTCAAATTGTTGCGATCTTAGATCAACCTATCGCTCGTTGTGTTTTTCCAATATTATTCAAGGTATTAATTGCATTAATGAAATTTAAGAATTCTTCCTATTATTTGCACTTATATGTTGTTATATGTTTATAAATTTACAATATTAGCTTGCGGAAGAACTCCCCGGAAGTTTGTATTATCCGGTCACAATCAGCAGTGAATATTATAAATTTGATGAAAGTACACAATTAGCTCGAGAAAATAAGATTAAAGTTCAAGAATTGAAGCAAAAGATAAAATGCAATGTTACTGATTTATTTGTAAATGAGCTTCATAGACTCACTGATTCTGAATTACATTTCCATAATTGGGCACGTTCAGTTTTTGTATGTATAAACTTTAAAGAAATTTCAATTAGAATTTCGAACTAATTTTTTTTATTTTATTAGAATTTGATTAAGGCGAATGCAGGTGGTAATAAAACCGCAGAAATAAAGGCTTCTTTCCAAGAAATGAGCGCATTTTTATTAAATCCTAATCCTCATCATGGAAGATTTGATATCCTTTAATATTATTAGTTTTTTTTTTTGGCATCTTTGCGTTCTTTATTATCTTTTTTTAAAAAATACCATTATTTCTTAACATAACTTACCTAAAGAATTTGTAAGCCGACATTCCGAAAATTTGTTTAACTTTTGTGGTAAGAATTATTTTTATAACAACAAAAAAAAATCTTTTTTTTTGTTAAATGTATTGCAATTTTATAGGAAGAGACGGTTCATTATTAGCAAAAATGTCACAAGACGAATTTAGGACAAAAATATGGGACTATTACATAAAACATATTAAACGTCAAAATAGAAAGGCACAAGAGGGGGCCAATTTATTGAAATCTTACTCTGCATGGCTTGCTGAGTATTCTTCTTCGAATGTTGAAAAAGTATTAATACGAACGTATTCTTTATGATTTAAAACAAGATTTTCAGTTGTTAATTCAACATGTATTTTTTATATGTAGGAAATTGAAATTCCGGGACAATATGATGGATTAAATATTCCTGATCCAAGCAAACATGTCAAAATCGCGCAATTCGATCCCGCAATTATGGTGTTGTCTTCATTACGTAAACCAAAACGAATTATTATTTTGGGAACGGACGGTAATGAATATAAGTTCCTTGTGAAAGTAAGTCTTTATTTTATAATTTTGCTTTTCCTGTATATAAGTTCGATACCGAACCTTTTTTTTTTTTCTTTTAGGGAGGAGAAGATTTAAGATTAGATCAAAGAGTTCAGCAACTATTTTCACTTATGAACGAAATAATGAAAAAGGATTCTTTTTGTTCCCAACATAATATAACACAAAAGACCTACAAAGTTATCTCACTTAAAATTATACACGTGCTTTTATTTTACTTAAATCATTATTAAAATGTAGTTACTATTTTTTTATAGGTTGTGCCAATAACGGGTCATCTTGGAATAATAGAATGGATTAATAATACGGGGACTATGCGCTCATTCATTGAAAAGGAACTTAATGATTCAAAAGTTTTTGTTGATGCACAATCAATGCATTCGCGCTGGGTTTCGCAAAATCAAAGTACGAAATATAATGAGCTATATTTGAAAGTTATATTCGATAAGATCTCAATTATTATTTTTATTTTGAAATAGATTATCATAATATATTTATGAAAGTAAACCGTGATAATGTGGTTCAACATTTCAACGATCTTCAGAGAGGGATTAAAAATGACTTGCTAAAAAAGGCATTATACAAGCTTGCTGCTTCTCCTGAAGCACATTTATCGATTCGATCCGAATTTATAAAGTGCCATGCGGCAATCAACATATGCGGATATCTTATTGGTATTGGAGATCGACATCTAGATAATTTCTTAATTGATTCAAAGTGAGAAATTTTTAATTAATGTACGATATATTTAAGTATATAAATTATTAATAATTTGATTTTTTATTAGGAGTTCGCTGATCTCTATTGATTTCGGTCATGCGTTTGGTTCAGCAACAGAAACATTAGAAGTTCCAGAATTAATACCTTTCAGACTTACTAAACAGATAGAAACATTAATGGAACCTCTCGGGCCTAAAGGGCTTTTAGAGTATCCAATGATTAAAATATTGCAAAGTAAGAAACCATAAAAGAGCAAGAGCTTTTGATATATAAAATTTTCTGACTATAACATTTATTTTCATTTATAGTAATGCAAGCAAATAAAGAGATCTTGTTAAATGCAATGGATATTTTTGTTAAAGAACCATTATTAGACTGGCAAACGCGTGCCCTGAATCAAGCTAAACAACAAAGTAAGTTATATAAACATATTATTTATTCGTTTAAATAAATTTTTTTTTACTTATAATTTAATGAAACTAGAAAATCGTGGTAGTAATGAAATTGGAGATGATGATTCACAGACCGTGGAATGGTATCCACGACTAAAATTAGATATTGCTCGTCGCAAGCTTGAACTTGAGAATCCAGCCAGTATCCTTACATAATTAAATTGAGATTTTTCCCTTTTTTTTTTTTTTATTTATTATACACGTTCTTAACGTTTTGATTAATAACAGATATCGTTTGTAACGAATTGAAAGCCGGCCATTCAAATAAACCATGGTATCCTTCAATTATTAAAATTGCGCAAGGGGATCCTAATCATAATATAAGAGCTAAGGCATGCCAAAAATGTTTTAGCGTTAAAGAGCAAGTTGAATGTTTGATTGATTTGGCCACAGATCCGCATGTGTTAGGTTCTATGTGGGTCGGTTGGCAAAGTTGGGTATAAATTCTCTTTCTAAAATAGCTATAGTCATAACGAATAGTTTTTTCATATAATTAGTCAATTAATAACAATAACATTCTTAAACTTTGTATTGTTCCAAAAATTTTTTTAAATAAATGTAATAGCAATTTGTTAATAGCTTTTTTGTTTGTCGATCCAGATTCTGCTTCTAACCTTATCCTACTAATAATTATTTTTTTGAATATGTTTTATCTAATTTTATTTATTAAGAAATTAATTATTATATACAGTATATCAAATTATAAAATACAATAAAAATTAAAATTTTCTAACGTCCGATTTTTTCAAATTCATTTTGATTTATTATTTAATTGTTATTATTTTTACTATAATAAAATAGATAAGCAATTTGTATATATATATCGTAAAATTCAATATAATAGAATCTTGATTAATGTAACTTAGTTCGCTAATTTTTTACTAAGGTTTTGATATAATTTCGCCATTTTTATAAGTTTTAATACAGTTTTACCTTTTCTAAATTTGTAGATTTATTACAAAACCTTTAGGTTTTATCCAACAACCTTAATATTAATAAACTAAAACTACCCTTATAACAAAATTTTTCTTGAACGCTAACTTATTAAAAAAAATCTTAATAATCACTTAATATATCAAATTTAAATTAGTAATAAATATATTAAATCATATAATAATTTACTAATATATTTTTAAGATTTTTTTTTATACTTCTTTTAATATTATTAATAATATAGATATATAAAGTTAATTTAAAAAAAAGTATTTCTGATAATAATAATAAGAAAAGCCAAAATAAAGTAAATTAGATAATTTTTAATTTATAAAAATTCAATGTAATAGATTTTTACATAAATATAATATATCAAATTTTTATTATATTAAAATATTAGATATATTAAATATTTTTCTAAATAATTATATTAAATTTCAATGTATAAATAATAATATATTTTTATATTTATTAAATATTAAAATTTATAAAGATATCATCTTATTATATTATTCTATTATTTATTATTTATACTAAACTTTTAAAATTCTTATTAATTAAATATTATTGGTAATTAATTATTAAAAATATAATAATAAAAAGGCAATTTTAATTATACATAAAGTATTTGAAACTATATAAATATAAGATTGTGACATAATATTTTTAGTAAAACATTTATAAGTTTTTAAATTACAATCAAAACTCAATATAATGATTCAAAATAAACTAATTTTGACCTATACTAACTTTTTTTCAAAACCAAATTTTCATATAATTAAATTTACTATAATATACTGAATTTATTATAAATTTAGTGATATAACTATACCGATATTGAGCTGTAAACCAGTTATATTATATTATTCACAATAAACTAATAATGATTTTTTTTTATATATTAATCATTGTTATAAAAAAATTTTTTATTTTATATATCAATTTTTTATTAATCTTTGCCAAAGAGAATAAAATAACAGATGTAAACTAAATTACAAGACAAATTTTTTTGCTCTTTTTATTAACTCTTCTATTATCATTATATCTACAAATAAGTGTGTTATTTTATCTGTAGTTTAAAAGCAAGAGCTTTATTAAAAGAAAATTGATAATCTGACTATTCTAAATATTGAATTTACTTATTAATATAATGTTAAATCTAATACAGTTAGTGATATTTTAAAAAGAAAATTTGAAAATCTGACTGTTCTAAGTTCAGAACTAGAAAGAAAAAAATTTAATAACTGAGGTATAAAGAAATAGATGATGCTGTGAAAATTTAAATATTTTAGTTTTTAGCTGCAAATCAAATATTAAGGGGTGATATTTTACAAAAAAAAGCCAAGCAATTTGCAGATAAATTTGGTTTTATTAAATTTACAACTTCTGCAGGTTAGTTATTAAATTTTAAAATAATAAATAATATTTAATCATATATTAAATCAGAAGAGGTGACTAATGATTCTCTATTAAAAGAAATTGATAAATATAAGTGAAAAATTGCAAAAAATTTTCTGAATATGCATTGAAAAATATATACAACTATGATGAAATAGGTATTTTAAATTTTTCATTATTTATAACAATTTATAATTTATTTATTTATCTGTAATTATTTGTTTTATTAACATTATTTTAGTAATTTAAACTATCAAAAACTCTTGTATAAGAACCTATAATAGAAACTAAAAAATCAAAAAATTAAGTAACTATTTTACTGATATGTAATGTTACTAATAAAAAATAACTTAAACTATTATTCATCCACAAGTTCAAAATCCTCGTCTATTATGTAGTATTATAATTAAAGATTCTGTATAATATTATTAGAATAAAACTACCTAGATGCAACAATCAATTTAGCTTGATTATTTGGAAAAATTAAACAAGTCAATATGTCTTTATCGTAAAAATCCTATTATTAGTTGATAATGCTTTAACACATAGTAAATAATATGAATTACCATCTTTTAATAATATTGAAATTTATTATTTACTACCTAATACAACTCTATATTTACAACTTCTGGTTTAAGGTATTATTAATTCTTTTTAAAGTAAGTATTATGAAAAATTTATATTTGAAATAGATTGATTTAAAATCTTTTATTAATTATTATTAAAATTAAGACTAAATATAAAAGATTATTAGTAGAAAATAAAGTTGAAAATATGATATTACATAAGAATTAAATATACCTATTCCTTCTATTAATATTCATAATACTATTGAAGTATAAAATCAGGTTAATTCTCTTTACTGTTA